CTCTCTGTGTTCTATGTCCTTCCTCCTCTGTGTGTGTGATTGTGTGAATGTGACCCGCCCTATAAACGGGTTTGTGGTTGTGTGACGTGGGCGACGCTGCTCCACCGCAGTGGCTTCGCCACAGGTGCCCACTAGGTAACGAGAAGAGAATAACAGTCCTTTCATATAAGGCCAATGGGACAATACATCCCATGTGCCCGCCATTGAAGAAAAAAATAATAAATTTATGGTCAAGATTAAAATGATGAGCGACAATGGATAATTCATAAAATTTTTGATGATGGACGATTCTACCGATTTTTTTTTATTTAAATCTATAAGCGCTTCGGGTTTTGCTCAATACAGTTATCAAAATATGTGGTTAGAGCTAAAGCGATTATCAATGCTAGCAAGATATTTAAGTAATTTTAATAGGATGTTTGCACCTTAATATTAGTAACTAATAAAGTTTTTCCATCAAAAAGAATGCTCTTTGGAAGATTATTTATTTCAGAAGATATTCTAGTCAGATTATAATTTTTCTTAAGCAATTTTCTTCGTTATTAAAACTTTATATTTTTTCCCAATACTTTTTACAACTTATTCTTTTTTAATGTTTTGTTAATTTAAACCATTTATTTGACCTAAATATCCTCCTTGGAATTATAGATTTTGGAAGGTTTGAAAATTGTTCTTTTTAATACCACAAAAAAAGGAAATTATCTAGGCATCACAAAATGCAGTCATCTGGATATCTTTACGCCTGGTTTCCCTTTTTTTAATTTAAAATGTCTTAAAAATAATATATTTTGCATTTGGAAAGCAGCTCCAATTCGATAACCTCTTTTTTATAATCAGACAAAAAAATTTATAAAAGAAGAACTGTCTAATAACATTTTTCTTTTTCTAATTGAAAAGATTTTTTAGTTTTACTTTTAAACGTTTTCTCTTTGTATGCATAGCAAAACGATTTCAAATATAATTAGATACTTTTAAAATTTCATTCTCTTATTTAATAATCAGGGATTTATAAAGTATGATGGATTTTTAAAAAAATTGAAGAGTCACTTGTTAATCTGATAATAGTTTAATTTTTTTACCATTTGTAGGATAAAAGAAAATAAATTAATGTTATATCAGTATTAAATTATGTAAATATCGTTTCATTGTTTTCAAGTTGACTAAAAAAAGATTAAGAATTAGTATACAATTTAGTCACAACTTCAATTTCAAAATATTTGCGATGGGAGAAGTTTCAAACCTATATATATTTTTCTTTATGATTAAAGTTTATTTTACAGATACACAAAAAATTAATTTCTTATGCATTCTCAAAAAATGGATATTTTATGGATACACATACGGAAAAAATGTTTAAATAATAATTTACTTAATTTTTATTTCGCTATATTCAAACAAAGCTGTCAAATAGCCATAAATAAGATGATATTCAAACAATTAACTGCGAGAAAAACCATTTATTAACTACATTTATCTAGAGGGGTTAAATAACCAGAATTTTACCGCACCTATCAGACCCACCTTACTAAGCCACTTAGTTCTTTGCAGCTGGGTATGTATTATAGCCGAGTTGGCTAGTCTGTCAATCCCATGACCGACGGAACAGAGGTTCGAATTCCAGCGTTGACGCCACACTTCTTCCATTTCTTTCAACACATGAAGAGTTTCCTGCACTCCTCAATTTGCACCCCTGAACTATTAGAATACGATACTTTCATTAAGGCATAAAGAATAGCACCATTAAACTGCTTCACACAAAAATTCGAATATTTCCCATCTCTTGCGATTGTTGAAACTGCCTGATAAACTAATTAAACCACATCCCATGGTTCATTTGACAAAAATAACTCAACCATAACCTTACTGCAGTGTCTATTACCTAATACTGAAAGAAAACACAAATAATTAAGATCAAAAAGAAAAAACTTCTTTGAAAAAAACGCGCTAAAAAGCAGCAGAAATTTCAGAAAAAAGTATCNTTTTGTTTTATTTCATTTGTTTTGTATGTCTATTACCTAATTTAGCCTACCTAACTCCAGTTAAATATCATTTTTACAAATTTAAAACCATGCTAGTTGTAAATGGTTAAAAACCTTTTGTATTCATGGTTTCTTAACCATAATAGCTGCAAACGGTTTCTAAAAAGTAAAGGTATAAAAAGGTTCTTTGCCGCTAACTTTACGGTTAATTGGATGGAGACACATCTGCCGGTTATTTTACTGCATTTTAAAATGAAAATTCTAACGTTGTAATAGAATTTAAGGTATATACTGAATGTACGAATAATATAGTTTGAGGTTATGCAAAGTTATTCACAAACTTTTTAAAATGTGGCCTGTCATTTCTAGTAATTTCAAGTTTCAGCATAAATTTTACATTTGTTTAAAGAAAAACTTTGTCCCACAGTTTAGGGAACAAGTATTAAAAAAAAGAATATCCATTCGAAATTTAAAGTTACAAAACTTAACATTTTCTCAGTTGAATGGGAAACTTGATGAAGTGGGGATTAAAAAAATTTATTTTGAGATTCTAGAAGTTTAGGTCTTGAAAAGGTTTTGATATCATGCATCTTGTTTTTCGTCAGTAATGCTAATTCTACTTATACAAGGAAATGTGAATATTCGTTGTAATAATGGAAATTCGAGGCAATGACTCAAAATATAAAATTTTTAAATAATTTCTTTTTATCTAATAATATAAAAGCTATGCTTTTGTATTTTTATAAAGATATTTTATTATCTAACCGAAGAAGTTTGAGGTTTAATTAAACATTTAAAAATAATGAAAACTGAACTTTTTAATACAAACACTCAGTAAGCTATATTAAAGGAAAGAAATAGTTTCAAAATCATTTCTCGATTTCTCAATTTGCGCGATTATTTTAAATTTTCTTTCGGAATTACAATTAGAATCGGAAAATCGTTCAAATGTTCACTTTCAAAAGTTGTCTTAGTGGTTTCATAATTCATTCAATTTCAAAATTGTTTAACACTAGCATTTATCTATTTAAGATTATTATTTTGAAAGAATAAATAAAGTGTAGGCTTCTGGTTTTATAAATAAGCAAATAGGACTATATTCAAGCGAATTGAAACTAAAATAAATCGCTTTCTAACACAATTTATTTCTAAAACTGTAAATCAAGATTATGTTCAATAATGAAGTTTTTAGGTATAATATTAGTTTTTGAACTATCTTAGAATCTTTTAAGATTACGCATAAAAATTAAAACTAGTATATTAATCATGTTAAAATAAAAAATATTAATAAACACTAAAAAACGAATTTCTCGAAATAATTTATATTGAAAAGAAAGAATGAAAAGAATTTCTTCACGTTGTTGAATAATGAATTCAATGAGCTTAAAAACACAATTAAAAAATAATCATTAATCTTAAAAATACGTTAAAAAATTAATAAAAGAATAAAAACAATTATTGAAACTAGCAAAATCTAAAGAAAAATATAAAATATTGCGAAATAAATGCTAATATTAGTAGATATTGTTTGAAAAATATTTACTATGATACACTTTTTTTTAATCGAAAAATGCAATTGAGTATAACTTTCAAAATACTTAGAAAAAAAGTATTCAGAAACATAGTTTCTAAAAAAAGTTTTAACTTAGTTTGCTGTTAATTACTTTACTTTAAAAATAGTTAAACTTTTAATTAATGAAAGCAATATGGTAACTAAAATCATCTTCAACTAAACCTAATTTACTTAACTAAATGCTTTCCTAAAAAATGTTTCAAAGTTCTTACTTTCAGAATTCTCTTTTCATTTAGTTAAAAAAATGTTCTTACTAACTATGAAAATAATATAGGGTCTCCTTCTAATTGAAAAAATAATTAGAGGAAAAAAAACAAATTTTTTCCTAAGTAACTGAAAAGGAAAAATGATTATAATTTAAATAGTAGATAACTAAAAGCAAGTCCAATTAGGAAAGCAATTTATTCCCTATTACAGAAAAGCTGTGGTTTTCCTTTAACCTGCATAAGTTTGCAAGATTAATTTTTTCTATTTAACTTTAACCTAATTTACTTAAAATACATTTTAAAATAGATTTTTTCATCTTTCAAATTATTCATTAATTTTAAAATAAAGCATTTTCTTTAGATAATTCAAAAACTAATATTATACCTAAAAACTTCATTATTGAACATAATCTAGATTTACAATTTTAGAAATAAATTGTGTTAGAAAGCGATTTATTTTAGTTTCAATTTTCTGAAAAAATCTAATGTCTTTATGTTCTAAAAGAATAGCTTTTAAATGTAGATTCAATTACGGCTTTCCGAGCAATTTTTATCAATGTAAAAGAAATAAATTAACATGAGATCTTTAAAAACGGCGTTCTTGTGTTTTTTTAAAACTATTTTATTTACCTATGTGACAAAATTAAGAAGCATCTACACTTATACCAATAAAATATATTAAGATTATTTTTTACTTGATCCGCGACGGCTCAATTGTTAAGGCACTGAACTGTCACTGTGAAGAACAGGGGTTCGATCCCCCAAGGGGGTTTAACCTAGAGAAGCCCTCCCTGCTTCAAAATTCGATAGGTATCAGCTGCTCTGGGAAGAAAAGACTGCTTCCGAGCAATGCCATTGGTCACGAAACTGTGGAGCTTAACCTGCCCACAATGGGCTGTTGTGGGAATGCTCTAGTCTGCTTTTTATGTAGTTATATGAGTTGATATTTTTATGTTATATGTGTTGATATACCTTACTTCTTTAATAAAATAATAATTTGAATTAAGGTGAAAAAATATAGTATTTTTCTTTTTTTTGGAAAACAATTAATGTAAATAGCAGCTAAAGGAAGAAAAAAACTTTTACTGCTACAAATTTCAAATTGCGCAAAGTTGAAAATGGTAATAATAAGAAACTTCTCATCGAAAATATTGTTCCTCCTCTAACATTTGGTGACGACAAACTTAATAAATTAAAAAATAAATTGCCATTCATTTTAAAGCGAAAAAGATATAGAAAATAATCAACCAACGAGATTAACAATTTATTTGAGCACAAAACCCACAAAGAGAAAAAACGTCAATTATCTACATGATAAAGTACAAAAATCCAAACAACAAACACTGATAAAAAGTGAATGTGAACTTCACAAATGATTTTTCACTGGAGTTTTTCAATTCCAGTACACGATCTGGCAAAGGTCGACTGATGAGTAGTTCCTCACTGACGGAAGTGACGACATCCGCAATGGACGCGGTACATGTGAGTCGAATATCCCCCGGGGGAAGATGGCGAGATGTGAGAGGGATATTGATGTAAGATGATGAAGACTCCAGCTGATCCGGGTGGCGGATGACTTCTTGAGTTCCACGGATTGTTCCTGAATCCATCTGAAAAAGAAAGGGTAATATTTAATGCCGTCTGACTGATATGAAGCCTTTGGGGATTATGCAGATATAGTGTATGATATTTTGCCTCTTTGTAACAAACTAAGCATATCTTGTAAGAGGAATCTCCGAAATTAATGGAAAAACAATAATTATTCAGTTTAAAAGAAATATATGGGTAATTTCCATCAACAAATTGATGATTTTTAAGACTATTTCGAAATGCATTTTCGAAAAAAAAACTTTTTCAATAAAAAATCAAATATATATATATATATATATGTATATATATATATANTCTGATGATATGCATTTAATAACACACTCCTGTATATATATATATATATATATATATAATATATTTAACTCAAAACTGCAATAGAATTGATCGCCTTCTCTCAAAACTCGCATTAAAACATAAGCAATCAGAGTAATTTTCATACAATTCAAGTAAATTTGTATAAAAAATTTACGCGTTTTGAAAGGAAGTATGTAAATTTAATGAAAATAACTTCGAATAACATTTTTCGTTAATATTTTGTTAGCTTATTTGTGAAGGTTTATAATTTCCGGTATTTTAAAAAAATAATCACTGCATGAAAAGAATTTGTTTTTCTAGTCCCAAAGTTCAAACATTTTTATTTAAACAAACATGTTTATGTTACCGCTGAGAGCTGATTTATCAAGATGAACTTTTTGTTTTTCCCATTTTCGGTAAAAGGTACAAAAACGCACCATTTGTGTAAATATTTTAAGCTAACATTATGTCGCATATTTTTCACTAATTTTATTTTTCTGCTATTGTCAAGGGTTTTGAAGATATCTATAAAATATTAGTAATTCAATTAGAGTAAGCACTTTCTTTTTAGAAATTTTTAAACTACTTTATTTTCTTAACTTGAGACAATTGTAGACAAATTATACTTTTTAAAAATGTATAATTATTTCTCTGAAATTAATCATATGCTTTAAGATGGATTAAAGTTGCAGATTCAGTAAATAAAATAAAAATTAAACAAATTTCATAAAAAATTAGTGTTTATCTAAATGGTTTATCCATTGATTTTCCCAATGATGTATATACGCATCAATTTAATTCTTAAATAAGATATTTTTCATAAACGAAACTTTTTTTAGTCTAAATTAATGTAATTTAAGCATATTTTAATGAAAATAATTACACATTTTATAAAAATTTCTAAAATGGGTTAAAAAACTGTACTTTAATTCATATTTATAATATCCACATAATAATTCTACTTTATATTTTAAGGCAATTATTCATCATTAAGAAACCGACTTTTTAAAAAAAAAACGTATTACCCTCTTATAACAAACATTGTTAATTTTAAAATCTACAATTATTGGGGAACATAATAATAACGAGTCGTCTTTTTAAAAAATATCATGTTATCGAGATATTTTAAGCACGTTTCGCTAAAAAAAAAATTTTTCTATAAAAAAAATTTTTTAAAACTACTGAAACATTAAATTTCTAGTTTTGCTTTAAATAAGATTGTTTTTATTAAAAAAAACTAAGACATCTTATTATAAAATAAATAATAACACTATAAAGAAAAAATACTAAATTATGCATAAATTTTTAGAATAGGGCTAAGATCTGGACATTCTTTAATTAATTTTTTTTTAAACTAAATTTATATTTAATTTGTTTTAACAATTATTTTCTTTAACTCACATTTAAGCATTACAACAACACTGAATTTAGTTATTATTATTTTCAAATCTTTATGCATACTGGAAATACTAAAATATATAATTTTGAAATATTGATATTTTTAAGACATAACAGGGTGAAGTTTCAATAATTTTTCAGAAATAGAGGTGAATGTTTTCTGTAAAAATTACCAATAGCAAATTATAAATGGCATATCTTTTATTTTTAACTTTTGTAAAACTGCTTAATATATGATTTAGCTTAATTTAAAATTTTGAAAACTACTTAATTACAAACGCAAAATGGTATTTAAATAAAGGAAACTTGATGTTTGCATTAGTTTATTTCTTTATAATAATGTGCATTTTTATTAGAATTTTTCTACTGGAAAGTTAATGTGTATTTCTTTAAAACGCTTTTTTCCGATAACATTTTTGGAAAAATCATTTTAATAGATCTTCAAATTCTACTAATTACGGAAAATAAACGGAATCGCTAAAAAAAGACACTTAATTGCTCTAAAGTAAGAACCATTTCTCTTTTTCCACAATATTTGCTACTTTTTATAATGGGATTTTTTCCTTAAACAGTATGACAAAACTTTTTGATGTAAAAGTAATGGTATTTAAATTTAAAAAATGAAATTTTTTATTAAGAAAAATGTTAAATAATATACATTTTAAATGGGTAAAAACAGTTGTTTGCCTCTCAAAATATTTTCTTTATTTTACCATAAATTACGTATTTAATATTAAACATAACATTTCTTATGAAAGAAAAACATACGTGTTCAATATTCAAATTACTCGTTAAATTTAGATTATAAACTGCAAATAATTTTGGAGATTATAAGCATGTTCTTTTACAAATAAATTTGCTTGCCCTATATTCTATAGCTATTTAAAGTACAGATTATACACAGAAAACTGATTGCTTTTATTTAATAATTAAATGATAAAAGATGCTTAAAATAACAAATGACAGAAAATTTAAAAAACAATTATCATACTATCTGACAAAATTTATTTCTCAATAATTTAATTAAACAGAATATTATGCTCAAATTAAGCGGATCGTTGATTGTTTTAAATACATTAAAACCCAATTTAAAATAACAGAGGACAAAAACAAATTAAAATTGATAATAATCTTTTTTAAGATACTATTAGAGACATTTATATATAAGTTTAAGAAAACCATAGATTATATCACTCTTTTTTTTATTATTTAATTTCTCCTGAAAAATTGCTTATTTTTGTCCGATAATGTACTAAGACAAATGCGATGCGTACAAATATAAATGAATTTTTAAAATTCAATCATCATTACACGAAGGAAAAGGTTTTATCATCTATATTTTAAACTTAGTTTGACATATTTCTTGATACTTCGTTTGGTAGATCAAAAACTTAGTTTGACAAATCCTTTTCTTATCAGTTTGTTATCTCCTTTACCACTTAGTTCATCCTCGTATGTTGAATTTCACACAATAAAAAAATGAATACTCAAATTTCACAAAATTTTATTCTTTTTTGAAGAAGTCGTTTCCTGGTGTATGCTTCTTAGGGAAAAAGCGTTCGCCCTCCCAATAAGATAAACTGGGTTCGAAACCCAGCGAAGACTGGTTGATACGAACTCCGCACCCAGCTCGCATCAACCGCAGTGCTGACGTAAAACATCATCAGTGGTAAACGGATGAATCAGAAAAGAAAATTTTCTTTGCAAAAGATCAAAACTATAAATCAGTTATTTGTCAAAACGAAAATATGGGAAGTATTATTAAAAGTCACGTTTGAAAAGTGTACGCCTACAATTTTAACTCTGATGTCGTTTCTTGTTACCATAATTAAACTACTGCATTTTCAGTAAATTGTTATTAAGAATGAAAGTATTTATTAAAAATAATATCATATAAATACATATGCAATAAATAGTAACAAATTATCTTTCATAAAAATTTAAGCAGTTGTAAAAATCGAAAACTATTACTAAGGCATAATAAGGCAAAAAATCAAAACTATAAATCAGTTATTTGTCAAAAGGGAAATATGGGAAGTATTATTAAAAGTCACGATTGAAAAGCGTACGCCAACAATTTTAACTCTGATGTCGTTTCTTGTTACCATAATTAAATTACTGCATTTTCAGTAAATTGTTATTAAGAATGAAAGTATTTATTAAAAATAATTTCATGTAAATACATATGCAGTAAATAGTAACAAATTATCTTTCATAAAAATTTTAGCCGTTGTAAAAATCGAAAACTATTACTAAGGCATAATAAGGCAAAAAATCAAAACTATAAATCAGTTATTTGTCAAAACGAAAATATGGGAAGTATTATTAAGAGTCACGTTTGAAAAGCGTACGCCTACAATTTTAACTCTGATGTCGTTTCTTGTTACCATAATTAAACTACTGCATTTTCAGTAAATTGTTATTAAGAATGAAAGTATTTATTAAAAATAATTTCATATAAATACATATGCAGTAAATAGTAACAAATTATCTTTCATAAAAATTTTAGCCGTTATAAAAATCGAAAACTATTACTAAGGCGTTTCAGACTTTCAATCTTCTTCTATGTTTACATTTAATTTTGCGGTAACAAAAACTTCGGAAAAGATAATTATAGCTTTAGATATAAAGACCTTCCAAAACAGTTTTAAATGCAGAAAAATAGTTTTTGTTTTTCTACAAAACAATTTCAAAAACATGCCGCTACAACAATGAAAATGAATAAACAATTCGTACCTCAACATATTTGACCGACCTTTAATTAAAAATAGCAATTTAACTGCTGCTATAAGATAATTAAGAAGGTCATTTTCTTTTTTTAAGAAATAAAAGTATTCCTTTTGAATGGTTATGAAGTTTTACTTTAGAAGAATGAAATATTTTAAAGAAAAAAATATAATAACTAAAGTAAGGATTTGTATCGTGTTGTTTTAAAAATCTTTAGGAAATATATATCACTTCAGAGAAAAGTATTCAAATACATTAAGCATTTTTAAAGGAATTAAACACGTTTTCTCTCCAATCGAAAAGAAAAATGTTGAGAAACATTAAGTTTTTTTTAATGCAATTGTTGATATATCTGAATTTCAATTTAAATGGTAATCCTACTCTAGACTTTAAAAATTTTAAAAAAAAGTTTTTATTTCTTTTTATTTAAAGCCCTTTCGAATCTAAATAATAAAGAAGCACTAGTTGCATTAATGAAAAATAGTTTTATACTCCATATTATATGGGAGAATTAAATATAAATGTCCTGTCATATAAAAGATTAAAACTTTCAACCCATTTCCTTAGTTACAAAAACAAAGTTACTTATAGCATTTCTTTTCATTTTTTTCATTGGAAAGAAACCTGTCAAACAGTTTCCGAGAAGCTATTATTGTCAGACATGGGAAAAAAGAACACCAAATCTTTAACCAATTTCTTTAGTTAAACTAAATATCAAAACTGAACGTTTCAACAACAATTTTGCTAGAAATCGGTCAAATAGTTACTAAAAAAAATATTTCAAGTAAGTCTAAATTTTTATATTCCCGTGAAATATTTTCTTAATAATTGTACTTGAAACATGGCTATGAACTCAAACCCAGCTACAGTAGTTCAGCAAATATTGAATCAGCTGGTCAATCACAAATAAACTAAACGAGCAGCTTACAAATCACAATTAAACGAACCAATCTTTTATCAGTAAGTTCCTGCCAAAGACTACAAAACTAAATAAAAATTATTAAAAAAAGGCTAAGAAAATAAAATATACATAAACAACATGAATTAAATTTAAAGAGTCGGATCAGAAGAGTTGGATTTGTACAAGCTGAAATTTAAATTCTAAATACTACCAATGTACGTATAGAAATTATGTTAGTGGGTGTATAATTAGCTATGATATCTATATCCTTAATATTAGATACAGAAAAAGTATATTCCGAAGGTTACGAAAATAATATACACATAAGCGACAAGAATAAAATTTAAAGAGTCGGGTCAAAAGAGTTGGATTTGTACATACTAGAATTTAAATACTAAAAAGTTACCAATATACGTATTAAAGTTAATTTAATGAGTGTATATGAGTAATGAGTAATGAGTTACGTATCATATAATAAGTAATGAGCTACGATATCTATATCTTCAATATATAATGCAGAAAAAGTAAATTTTCCACCCTTTTTTTTCAAAAATTTTAAGATATAAGCATTTTAGAATTTCTACTGGAAGTAGATTAATGCAGGAGTTTGTTAATAAAAAAAAGTTTATAAAAACTATTCTAATTAGACTTGAGGACAGAGTAAATTTAATAGTTGCTCATAATGTCCTTGTTGCTATTAAAGTGAGCGTCACCGAAAAGATAAAGGCATGATTTTTAAAATATCAATTTAAGGATCGATAAAATGATTGAATCCGATTGTTTTTAAATTTCAGATTCCATTAGCTACAATTTACGTATTAAAATAAGTCATATTAAAACGCATACATATCTCATATCAAAATAAATAGCAAGACAAAAAATTTTGGTATGAAATTATTTTTGGATAACCGAGATTTATAAAAAGATGAAAAATATTTTTAATGTTGTTAAATTGGACCAGAGATATTGCCAAATGATAAGAAACTAACATTAGAAATTTTTAAATGTTACCGCTATCGGTACCACACTTTCTACTCTCTTCCTCATGTTTTAATGGTCCCAAATCTGAATTCGTCGAAAATCATCGTTTTAGAGCTTTTTGTATCTAATTTCTTAAAATAAATATTTTCTGCATCATTTAATTAGCTTGTTTAAAATTTACACCCTTAAATAATTTAGATACTATTTATTCGCACATGAAAATAGTATGACAAAATCATGTTCTTTTTAAGATACATAAAGAGGACTGACCATAGGGAGGCTATAGTCCTTTTTATGTTATAAGGACTGCAGTATCGTTTGGACTATAGTGGGGACGAAAAAATATATCATTAGAATGTTTAAAAAAAAGTACTTACTAAAACGTCATTGACGTACCAACTAAGATTTGCAGCTGGTTTTGATTTTGCTGATGAGCAATGCAATGTAAGATTGTCACCGAAATCTGTCACTTCCCCTGATATTCTGGGAGACGATTCTGGTGGTACTAAAAGCACACGACTTTATTAATTCAAATTGAAAAATGTTTAACAAAAGAATTCTAATTCCTGAAAAATTTTACAGAACTGTAACACTAATATATATTAACCTTGTTAAATCTTACGCAAGAAAAAGTACATTGCTATATGACAACTATGATAAGCAGATCACTTTATCATTTAAACACATTATTCTTAGACTATAAATCTTTAATATGTATTTAATTATCTATAGTAAAATGTAACACCAAAATTCTTTTTATTGCATAAAAGTTGTTTAAAAGAATTAAATGTCGAGCCCAACTTTCACTTCTTTTGGTGAAATCGGAAGTGTTGGCAACTCTGGATTTTCTTTTCAACTAGTCGCAGTCTGTCATATCGTGAAATAATTTAAATAATATGCTGACGTTAATTTCATAGCTTTTATCATGCATGAGTAAATTTAAGAATTTTAACAATTCTCAAAAAAGGAAAAGCTACCAATTTACTACAAGCCCTTTGAAAAAAGTTGGCTCTGCTACCTTTAGAAAACTCTTATGCAATTAATCCCCACATAACAACAAGAAAACTTTTATCCTCACGTGCCTGGGGCTCACCAAACAGGATTTATCAGATGATCCATGGACGGTGTTGGATTTTTTGAGGGTGTATAACGTCATGGACCTGGTCCAGCACTGCTGGCCAATGGGGGGCGTGCAACAACAACACAACAACAGGAAACTTTTTGTTAAATTTATTGAGTTTGCTCATCACAAAAAAATTTATGTATCGTAATTAATGATTATTTTGTCAAAATATAAAATTATTGAGAATCAACTATATGGATTATAGCATTCAAGATGGCTTAGTAGGTTACAAAATGCCACTCAGAACATAGAACAGTGTTTCCCAAAGTGTGGTAAGTGTACCCCCAGGGGTAAGGGAACAGTTTCAGTACGCGTTCTTATGCGAAATATCTTGCAACTAACGAAAATTTCAAGAAAATTTTATTTAAAAACAAAGTTGGCCGTGAAAATTTACTATTACGTATTTTTCTATAGGCTATTTTTTGCAGAGTTAACAGTTAATAATTAGTAGTGACAACATCCAGTTGTGGTTTTTAAATTTAGTGCAGTTTTTTTATAGTAAAAAATACATCATTTTTTAATTAATGGTACACGGCGTTACGAAAAATTTAGAAAGGGTACTCAAAAGTTTGGGAAACACTGCCATAGGAGACAACTCGATATTGCACACACTGTAAAAAATTCCAGATCAAATTAAGGTAAAAAGTAGCTCTCAGGGTGCTAGTAATTTTCACGGTAAAATGAATTTTTACAGAAACATGTTACGGAGCAAAAAAGTCTGATATACCGTGATTTTCTAAATAATAATAACATTAACATCAAGAGTTTCTCGCATTAAATATGAGTGTAAAAATTATGGTATAATATTTTACGGTGAAATTGGATTTTAAGGAAAAACGGATTTTACGGATGATGCACCCAAATAGCCGGCACTGGTTCTAAGTTGCACAAAAAATATCATATCTGAAATGTTGGTGATTATAACTACTAAATTTAAAAAAAAGCATTGGTTATAATTTTTATGATATTTAATTACAGTTATTATAATATTTTACGTTTTATTTAGAAAGTGCCGTTTTAGAAAGTGCAATTTAGAGTTGTTGTTATTTCATAACATAAGTGATATTTTAATTTTATATCTTTTCATTTTTCAATTTAGTGATTATAAGTTATACAAGTTCACAAAAGCTTCAAAATATTACAGCTGCCAAAAATATTGTAATAGTCATAATATCACTCAGCACGCAATAAATTGTTCTATAACTGGATTCATTTACATAAAATGCAATTATAGTTTTTCTACAACTTATAAATTATATTAATATTTATAATACATTCATTTTATTAAGAAAATAATTTTTAAAAATCATCCAAAGATTACCAATTTTCTTGAAATATTTTAATTAATGATGCTCAATTCAGTTTTGTGGATTTCGTATCAGAAGTACTGGAATTGGAAAATCAAAATTTAGCCAAATCGATCGTTAGAGAAATGAAAATGATGCCTCATTTTCTTGTTGAATAGTAAGTTCAAATTTAAACAAAAATAATGATAAAAAATTAATAAACTAAAAAAATATTCTTGTTTAATCTTTAAGGTTCCTTGCGAGCAAAAAAAAATTGTTTTCAGTAATGGTATTTTATACAGTGCAACTTACTATACACGACGACATCTCTGTGAACTTGTACACAACCGAAATAAGGTTCATCCGCTGATACTTGACAAGTGTACTGTCCTTCACTCTTTAAGGAAAGGTTTCTGAGATACACAGTATTCTGGCTTGATTTTGACAACTAAATTAAAAGGTACAACTAAACAACTTTGACAACTAAATTAAATGCGTAAGTAAATAAAAGTCACATATATCATGTCTGTCAGGAAAACCCATCATTAAAATAAACAAACAAATGACACATTTTTTAAAAACAAAAAATTCAGGAACCTGACAAACAGAACTTTAACAGATCTAATTATCATTTATTCTAATGATCTAATTATATCTGAATTCATAAAAAAAAATTTACACTCGCTAGAAAGAGCTAAAATTTAACTCGCTGTATAAATTTAATTCAAAAAATTATATTTTTAGTCCAAAGTATTTCATCCTCATCCACACATTTATTAAATTGCGAGTAATGTATGTATGTCCTGCTTTGCTTTCCTACCTATTTTTACCCATTTTCATGAGGGTTTATTTTAAATTTTATAAATGCTTAAAATCAAACTGAATAGGAAAACTAAAAATATTTATGAAAATTTTTTTGAAAGGCATTTATTTAATTTTTTTTAATTAAGAAACATACTTTTTTTATTTTCAAAATTAATTACTGCAATTTAAGTATTACTGGAATTCAATCACACAAAAAAAGACAGCTATCAAATTCAACAAAAGCAGTCACTCAAATATTTTTGATGATTAAATTGACTTTATTTGACTTTTTTTTTTCTAAAAACATCCAAAATCTACTTAAACTCAACACTAGAAAAGAGATTCTTATTGTTTGGTTAAACTTTTGCGTTTCATAGTATTTTTTAATTATTAATATTAGCAAATGCAGTATAATGTTTTAATATTATTTTTCTAACCAGAGACAATTAAAAAAAATAATCGCTGAAAATATAGCAATGCTTCATGATAGCTGCCAGTTAGAAGTGATTTATAGCAACCACTATGTATTGGATAGCAAAAAAAAATCTCTCAAGATTTCTATGATTCCTAAAATTAAATATTTCCTTTGCATTAAAACCATGTTTTAACTACGAAATACACTGTTAGAAATTTCTCGGGAAAAAGGTTAAATAACATTTTATTTGTTATTTTACCATATTCAAACAAACAGTCACATAATCATAAATAAGATGGTATTCAAACTGTTAACAGTGAGAAAAAGCTTTAGTTGCTTTCACATAATATGGTTAAAGAACCAGAATTTTATGGCATCAACTGGGCCCATTGATGAAGCCACTTAGTTCTTTTCAGCCTTAGTTCCTTGCATATTATTGCCGAGCAGGCTGATCTGTCTATCTCATGACCGACAGAACGAGGGTTCGCATCCCAGCATTTACCCACAATATTTGCTCCATTCTCTTCAACTCATAAAGAATTTCTATCGCCCTGAACTCGACAATTTGCTACCCAGAGCTATTAGAATATGATACTCTCATCCACGCATAGTTGACAGCACCATGAAACTGCTCAACATAAAAAAAATCTAGTGATTCCCATCTCTTTGATAGGTGAAACAAGCAGCTAAACAAACTACCCACTTTTCACAGTTCATTTGAAAAAAAACACAACTCAAACACACACCAATGCCTATGATCTACCGAAAAGTCTAGCTCCATATTTTCACGTATAATTTATTGTTTACGGTTTTTAAAAACATGCTAAATGTAGTTGGTTAAAAAAACCATACAGTTTTATATCTATGGATTTTTTTTAAAACTATATAAGCTCTAAATGGTTTCAAAATCGTAAAGGTAAAAAATTATCTTTACCGAAAATTTTATCTTTACCTTAAAGCGGATGGACCGCTTCCATTTATTTGACCGTAATTTTAGAATAAAAATTCTAACAGTAATATTTTTGAATAAAATTGATTGTGGAGCTACAGGCAAAAGAAGTGCATTCGACAATGATGTTTCAAACTTGAGTAGAATGAGAAATGTTTTGTACTTGCATAATATAGGAAATCACTTTTATAGAATATTTTTTATATAGGATTACATCTTTTTTTTTTAATTTTTAACTGAGTGCATTTGAAATCCTAAAATTTATTAAAAAGAAAACCAGAAACCTCAATGAAATGCAAGCTTTCAAAAGAAAACATTACCTTCTGTTGAAACACGAAGATTTCAATTTTCAAAGCATACAATTTTCAAAGTATTAGTGTAAGCCACTTTGGCACTAGGGAACTAAAAAAGAAGAGACGTAAGAAAAGCAAGGGAAACTTGAGAAAGATTTTATTTATTTATTTTTTTTCTTTTGCTGTAAGCAAAGAGGAAAATATGAGAATAACTTTTCATTATGACTTAAGAAAGAGCCTGAAGTTCTCAAGTGTCAAAACAACAGAAAAAGACTTTTAAAAAGAAGAAAAAGAAAAGTGCATTATTTATGCAATTTAAGTTACCCCAAATTTACTTACAAATTTAATACTTTAAAGGAATAGTAGTTTCAAGTAAAGTTAAAAGAAGTTGAGAGAATTAAAGTTAATATAATTTGACAGGTGTGGGAATATTTCTATGTTTACTATTTTTACATATATTTTGAGTGGCAATATTTTCGATTTACTTACAAAAATAATATTTTAAAGAAATAGTAGTTTTAAGTAGAGTTAAAAGAAGTTGAGAGAATTAAAGTTAATATAAATTGACAGGTGTGGGAATATTTCCATGTTTACTAATTTTACATACATTTTGAGTGGCAATATTTTCGATTTACTTACAAAATTAATATTTTAAAGGATTAGTAGTTTTCAGTAGAGTTAAAGGAAGTTGAGAGAAATAAAGTTAATATAATTTGACAGATGTGGGAATATTTCTATGTTTACTATTTTTACATATATTTTGAGTGGCAATATTTTCGATTTACTTACAAAAATAATATTTTAAAGAAATAGTAGTTTTAAGTAGAGTTAAAAGAAGTTGAGAGAATTAAAGTTAATATAAATTGACAGGTGTGGGAATATTTCCATGTTTACTAATTTTACATACATTTTGAGTGGCAATATTTTCGATTTACTTACAAAATTAATATTTTAAAGGATTAGTAGTTTTCAGTAGAGTTAAAGGAAGTTGAGAGAAATAAAGTTAATATAATTTGACTGGTGTGGGAATATTTCTATGTTTACTATTTTTGCATATATTTTGAGTGGCAATGTTTTCGAGTTACTTACAAAATTAATATTTTAAAGAATTAGCAGTTTTCAATAGAGTTAAAGGAAGTTGAGAGAATTAAAGTTAATATAATTTGACAGGTGTGGGAATATTTCTATGTTTACTATTTTTACATATCTTTTGAGTGGCAATATTTTCGATTTACTTACAAAATGAATATTTTAAAGAAATAGTAGTTTTAAGTAGAGTTTAAAGAAGTTGAAAGCGCTCAAAAGCAAGCGCCCATTTTCAAGAATTGCCGTACCTGACTGAGAAGAAACAAAAGTGGTTTGAAATATAAAACGTAAAGTTACCGACGAAAATGAAAAAATAAAGGCGAGAAGCAAAGCAAAAAAAACCACGGTAGCCAAGAGAGAAAAGGATGGAGAGAAAAAAAAATAAGAAAAACCCCAGTGTCAGAGATGGGCAAAGCAGGGCTTGAAACAAGTCAACTGTTATTTCGAATTTGCATATTTTTGAAGCAAATGAAGTTTTTCATCTAGTATTATCTTATCAGTTTCTCGCAATTATTTATTTATTATTTTTAATTAAAATTATTAAAAATATGTAAATATCATAAAGGGAAATGAGGGAGTAATTTCTTAATCAATATGAATCGTGTTCTTAAGCAGTTACTTTTCATCCTTACCTCGTGAATCGTGATATAAAGTTTCGTACTTTCCATATCACTATTTTAAATTCAAGCACTTTATGAATATCACATCGTCTTCTAGTTATTTATAAATCTTACATCTTGAATCATTAATATAAGATTTATGAATCACGATTTATGATAAGATTTAAAATCATTCATATCCTTCATATTCACATTCATATTCCTCATTTATACTCCTCATTTATATTCCTCCCCTCATATCCATAGTACAAGATTTATGATCAACGATTCATGATAAGATTTACAATCATTCATATCCTTTCGATGTAGGAATTACTCGTAATAGTATTATTTTCCATCGTAAAGAAATTCCTTTATAAGAAACAAATTTGTATGAAATCCCAAAGAGCTTCCTTAGTTTTATTTTATTACAAGTGGGAGGAAAGTACTTGATAAACAAATGTGTCATATACTCTGGTATCTGGCCGAGAGCTCCATTATGTTTTTGTTTTGAATTTCTGGCTAATTCATTTACATATATATGTGATTTTTAAATCTCATATCGACATTAATCAAGTAATTAATCACGACGTCAATCAAGGATTCGTACATCTAGATCCATAAGCATAAGATTTATGAATCGTGTACACTATGTCATATTTCCGCAATCTATAAATTTCTGCAATGTATGAATTTATTTCAATTTTTAATGATTATAATATTTAAGGGATTATAATATACGAGAACATTTTGTAAACAGCTTCCTCAGATGTATTTCGCTGCAAGTCGGAGGGACGTTTGAAAACGAATCGCATGAGTGAAGGCTAGATGTATTTATATTATGAATTTTCGGACAATTCAGTTTTATTTATGTGATTTATGAATCACATGCCGCCTTTCGCGATTAAGTTATTTATGAATCGCATATCTTGATTCATATACATAAGATTCATTAACAATTTATAAAGACTCATATTCCCACAATGAATGAATTACAAGAAAATTAACATTGTTTACAATTATAAAGATTTATAATGTAAGAAAAAATTTTGTATAAAATTTTAAACATTATTCTCAGATATGCTTCGTCGCATATCGCTGGGGAGAGCTTGATAGATAATCTGGAATTGTATAACCATATTATGTTTTCGTAGTAATTTTCTTACTAATTTATCGGAATTTATGTGATTTATGAGTCTCAAGCCAATATTACACTGTTTGAATTTTCATTCAAAATTTAAGCTAAAATCTAAAATAAATGGTAGCAGTCTGATTATACAATTAACTGTAAAGAGTACGGTCAATATTTTTTTTTACTTTCACAGTTTTGGAACCGTTTACTAGTATGGTTAACAAACCACTTTACAACCAGCACGGTTTCAAAACCGTAAAAAGATTTAACCGGAGATTGGAGATAGGCTTTTTGTCAGGGAATGGACATTGGAATTAGGTTGCTGTTGAGTTGTGTCTTATCAAATGAACCGTGGAGTATGATTGTTTCTCCTATAGTAAGCGATAGGACATACTTAGACATTTTTTGTGTTAAAGTGCTGATATCTATGTATGAATAAGATAATAGCACTCTAAAAGTCCAGGGTAACAAAATAGAGAGGATAAGACACTGAAAAATCTTCAAGTGCTGAAGGGAATGGAGAAAATAGACTGGTGTCAACGGAGGGACTCGAACCATTGTTCTATCGGTTATGAGATCGACAGATTATCCTTCTCTACTACAATATGTGCTCAGCTGCAAGAAACTAACCAGCTTCATTAGGGAGCCCTAGTTGGAATGGTAAAATTCTTGTTGTTTAACCGTATTAGGGAAAAGCAGTTAATAAAAGATTTTTCTCACAGATAACTGTTTGAATACCATCTTATTTATGGTTATTTGACTGTTTTGCTTGAATATGGAAAAATATCATTTAAATATTGTTATTTAACTATTTTTTCCGAGAAGTTTCTAACAGTTCTTTTACGAACCAAAAATCTCGATTTATAAGCATAAGATTTATAAATCACGTGTATTAATTTGTATTCCTGTAATATGTTAATCACCCATAATTAGCATTTTTTTTCAATTATAATTGACTACCATGAAAGAAAACTTGTTATTAGTCTCGAACATCTTTCTAAAATATGTTTAGTTGCATGTCAGAGGAGCGATGAATAACCGAGTGTTCCATATGATCGGAAATCGAGTAATCGCGAAATTCCTTATATCTTTATAATCAATTTCGTTTAGTTCATTTTTTATTTTTAATAATTGTCTGGGAAGGAATCTTAATTTCTCAAAAAAAGCTCCGTTCTATGTTCTAGAAAGTTAAAAACAACATCAAAGGAGTAAACAATTCAAGGGAATTTTCTGAATATCTTTATAAAAGGATCACTGTCTAGAGGAAGTGTCAAATAGTTTGACATATCAAAGGGCTTTGTTTTTTTGCAAAGAATATTTGCATACTAGTAAAATATTCAAGAATTTTCAAACAAAACAGTCAATACGTCTCCTAACAGAAAAACAAAAATCATGTATTTTCGTATTATATCGTTAAAATTGCTTGAAAAACCAGCAATTGTTGATTTGAAAGAATAGTTGTACCAGTTTTTAAATTAAATTCATTATAAAAATAAATTATTATCATAAACCTAAACATTTTACATAGATGCAAATAGCTTCATCGGTTATATTTCGTTGAAAATCCTGAGAGAAGGCTGTTGGTTAACTTAACATGCCACATTATCTGATATCAGAAAAAGGGTTATATTATATTTTTATTTTAAATATTTATGTTTTCATTATGCCTATTCATTTATAATTAATGAATTAATGGATATAAAAACGTGTGATATGATTTACATACTATTCATGCGATTCATATATTAGTAATATTCTTTCATTAAATTTCATGTCGTTTGAGTTCATTATAAAAATGCACATTTAAAGACTGCTCCCAGAATCAATATTATATATCAAACTAAAAATATCAATCTTCAAACAAATACATTGTGACGCAAAAGTTTATAAGTTAATCAATAAATTTTCTCCAAATCGACGACAAAAATCCAATTCTTATAATCATCCAAAAGATATTTTAAAGCATATAGTTGTATTTTTAAAAAGAGTGATTGCATATTTCAACAAATCTATCAGTGTTCTCACAGTAAACTAAATTAAACTTCGTGATAAAGGGAAGATTAATGACATTTGTCAACTGTAATTATTTATGTAATTTTTTAAATTGGAAATCTATGCAATTGTACTCTTGTCACTTAAAGGCAAACACGATGAAGATATATTATTTTATTTCAACATTGCTTGAGTAAACATTGTTTCCATAATAAAATCTTCGTAATTTAAACTTGTAATTCAGGTTTTTTCAAATTATAATTAATACCTTAATTACCAAATACCTTTGTCTTCAATAGCAGTGATTGTATGCGTATCATAAAAAGAGCACGTGAAGCATATAAATAAAAGGCTCCATGAGCACACTTTTTTTCTAATTTGGTACACTTATTTATCAAATAGTGCTTAGTATTTTATAAAGTTACACACTTTTAAATTTTGAAATAGCGTTCAGTGAAATATTAAGGAAGCAAACTTACATCTATACTGATTCCCTGTACTGGAAAGGACATGAATTGTGGTGAAAGGCTCGGAAAGAATCTGAAAAATTCCACTTTATCTTTATACCATTTGACAGAATAAAGTTTTTCTTTTCCCAAATCGTAAAAACACGTTAAAATAGCTGAATCCCCTGGAACTACTAAAGAGGGTACTTCAAATCTTGTAATTTTCAGACCAACGCTTATAAAAGGCAAAGCTATATAGGATGATAAACAAAAAATATTGAATATTATTATTTGAATTATTTGCAATTGTATAATTTCAGTGAAAATGAAGAAAATATTTAATAATAAATAAAATGATAAAATATATATTTTTAGATATTACAGAATGGAATATGGAATATACTCATTTTTGAAGGATTATTGATGCTAGTAGATTTTGATTTAAGGCATTATTAGAAATACAAAGTTTTTTTTAGAATCTGAATGAAACAAACGAATTCCTATTCCGAAACTTTATATTGTACCAATGTACAATGAACCAAAAAATATATGTCACTCTAATTAACTTTTGTTCCTACTTTCAGATTTTTCTATACTATGTGACTTGGCGAACAACTTGGCCAAGCTATGTGACTTATACGACTTTTTTGTTGTGATCGGACCAAAGTAATGAGACTCTATTTTCCAGATTACTGATATCCCCAATACTTTGAAGGTCAAGGGTTCATGTGCACTAAATGAAAAAAATGTTTATTCGTAAGAAAATGTTTTCGTGTCCAGTTTAGTACCTTTAGATAGCATCTCCACTAATTAAAAAGCATACTTCAGGTTAATCTCACAAACCAGTAACATCGCATCTTAGTCCATTATATTATGACAATTAGACCAAAAATTATTAAGGTGTTTTCGTTTTCGTTTTGCATGTTGTACAAAAGTTTTAAAAAAAGTATTGCCATTATTAATTTTTGCTCTGATTAATTATCTGATTTTCTGAATCTGATTTCTGATTAATTATCTGAAATTCAAAATCAAAAAAGTACTTTTTACTTATTCTACATATTTAGACACATTTATATTTTTTGATTATCAAAACATGGTAGGTAAGTACAATATACACCGAGGAAAAGAGCATGGTCAGATCTAACAAAATATGGAACCATTTCCCGTGTTTCTGGCTATTTACCGTGACACCAAAAAGCTAGGTAATTTTTACTGAAGATTGCTTATGATTTTGGTAAAATTAGCAATAATATATTGTTTTATAATGCGTGTTGAAATTCGGTAAAGACGATAAAACTCGGTAACTTTATCATCATACCATAGAGCATGGCATAACCATGCATTCTGTTAAATTAACTTTTCATTTTTGAATTTTTACTAAATGTGTAATAAGGACAATAATTTTGAAAATCAGAATTTCCGGTTAACAGCTAACATATAAATAGTTTAAATACCATATATTTTAATTTTATTAGCTGGATTATGCATTTTATTTTTCAGAAATATCTTTGCGGAAACTTGATTAAAAAGTTTTCTTTATATGGCAGATATCGTCCCTATAGTTTTAGCCCACCTGCGAGAGAAGGAGCAAATTTTTTGCATACAGTCGAGTTCTAAAAATTAGTTTTCTAATCATTGAATTATGATAAAATAGCTTCTTTTTTTTTAACTTTTTTGATGCATTTTTCAACAACAATTGTATATCATAAAGGCCTTAATTTATTATATATTAATATCATACATAGATATTTTAATGTATATTTTAACATACAGTAGCAATTTACTTTAAAGTTATCCCATATCAAAATAATGTGATTCAATAATTTTATTCCCTGTGTAAAAAAGCTTTATACACATTTCTAAACTATATATGTCCTTTATTAACTATAAAAAAAGTCACTTACTTAGAAAGAAATGTATAGCGCTTATCATGGAGAAAATTGATACGTTTTTCTTCCTAATTACAAGAATTTAAATATCTGCCACTCGCTAACATTTTCTCTTTCATAAGCATAAATGAGCCTGTGTATGCTTCTTCCTTGGTTGGGATTCTGAAATGAAAGTAGACAATATATTTTAATCTAAATATATATTCATTTCTGCACTGCTAAAAAAATAGATACTCAAATATCACGTAACTTTCTTCGTTTTTGACAAAACCCTCTCTTGGTGCGAAAATGTCAAGCGAAAATGTCGTCAAAGTGATAAAATAACTATCGTCACTTCTTCGAGGAAACGAATTTCGTCAAAATTTAAGAAATATTCTGTCGTTTTATCCCCCCAGAGAAAAAAACTTCGAAGTGTATCTACTTTTTCTAATAAAAATTTCATCTTGGGCACCATATAGGTGCCATAATATAGGCGGCACAACACAACAAGGACAGATGGAACAAAGAGATGAATTGCACTAATGCTCTAAACTGGATTAGAACACCGGATCTTTCTGGTACAAGACAAACTCCTAGATCATCATACGGACCAGCTGGCTTTATTTGCTACCTTATTTCCGATTGTCTAATATTTAAGTCTAATATTTCGTCATTCTAGTTAACAACCTCCAACAATGCACTACAATGAGGTTTCGAATTAAGAAAACATTTTCGTACATCACGCCATTTCGTGACATGATGATTATCTAAATTAACGAAATACTGCTAAAGAATTGTTGAATCGCTTAAAAAGGAGATTTTTAGTTCTGTTGAAGAAAAAAGTTTTGCATTTTATGCGTTTATGAAATGCTTAAGCAGCGTAATCAATGCACAAGAAACGCGTAAAAATGCAATGTAACTCAGTATAGTATGAATTTATACTATAATAATACAAACCCTTTATATTTTTTATATTATTTCGAGGGTAAAATTGTTTGCGCAAAAACTGCGCAAAGGAAAAGAGAGTTTTGCTTTCCATTCATTGATCCATAAACAGTGGCGGAAAAATTCTAAAACAGAATAAAATAATCTAATCGATTTCGGATCATATCTTTTGCTTTGAAACTTTTTAAAAAAAAATACTGACGTTTATAGTCAATTTTCAGAATTTGTTTATTGAAATATTTCTGAACATACTTTTAAGTTTCAGTTTGTTACAGAACGTACGTAGAAGCTTATAACTCTAAGAAAATACAAACAATGTAATTTGTTGATCTTTTAAAGTTAATAGGATAATTTTATTAAATATTTGAATTGCATTGTCTGTACACATATATATTCCGACTAAATATTTCTTCAAAACTATCATAATAGTGATTAACAACTTTATCACCAGCAATTGAAAAAAATATTTTCTACTGCGTACTATAAATCATTCAAAATAAAGTTTTAAGGACTAATTAAATTGAAAATTTACATTTATATTGAAATAAGTACAGAATATTGTTGTCACTTTAATGATTAATATAGGAACTAATTAAATACAAATATTCGAATTAATATTATCTAATTTTTTTCAGCAAATGCATAATCTGTCATGATCGTAAGCACAAAATAAAAAGGTATCACTCCGAAGAATTTTCACAAACAAGAAACTGAATTTTCAGTTTTTGGTCAATTTTTGTTGTCGATATAAATAATATATTATCTTCAAATTAATTTTGTAAATTTCATTATGAGTTGCAGACACTTTGTGTCCCATATTTATAATATTTTGTTCGGTTTGATTCCAAATCAAGCAAAAAAAATTTTTTTTATTTAGCAATGCCCTTGATTTTTGAATTTTCTGTGGGTACCTCAAATTCAAGGCAAACCATTTACAAAAGTGTTAAAAATGTATCTTTTTTATAAATGAAGTACCTTTTTACAGATGAAGAAAATGCTTTAATGCATTTTGATTTAAAAATTTTCTTTATTAAGTTCTTTTTTTTTTTTTTTGAGTTATCCACCAAAAAGTGCTTTTTATTTTTTTATTCTTCGACATGACTGATAATTACTCTTATTTCTACTATATTTATGAACTCGTAATGCAATGTTACAAAAAATTGTACAGTGTGCCAAAATAAACGGACCACCCTGGACAAGTTTTGATCTAATAATTGGATCGTTCTAAGACCCCATCTAAATGGTTTGAGAGTGTGACCTTCAATATGCTAATTAATTTGTGCAGATGATATTTTAAGTTTCAAAATCAGACACAAAAACGTATTTTCTCTCAATAAACATACCTTTTTTACGACGAACTCGAATTTTTGACCCCCAAAATATAAGGGGTAACCGCAATCTGGAAATATTCTCCTAATAGTTGGGTCAGGAGAGCGACTCAAAGTTTGGACCCCCTAATGTTAATTTTATTTTTTGCGTATTTCGCCATATCTCGAGAGCTTTTTAAGCAAATTGAAAAAATTTTACCCACTGTTTAGAATTCGTTTATTCACACTGTTACATTCGTTTGCACACTGTTATTCGTTTGCACACTGTTTACATGGTTACCATGTAAAATTCACATTTTAATTTTACATGGTTTGCACGAAATCGGTTGAACAGTTCCTGAGAAATCGAGTTTTAAGCAATCAACTTTTTAAAAATTCGATTTTTCAGGAATTTTTCAATCAATTTCGATTATATTCTGCATTTTACCATGTAAAATAAATTAAATGCTGTAAAATTATGTAAACAATTGCAACTTTTTTCGGTTATTATTAACTAAAATAATAAAAAGAATAATATATTTACTAGAATTTATTTTTTTGCATAGAAATATCTTTGGATAATTAAATTATATAAATGTATGCAAAAAATTTTCAATTCACTTAAAGAATTCTCCAGCTATGGCGAAATACACAAAAAGTAAAATTAACATTAAGGGGTCAAAACTTTGGATCGCTCTCCTAACCATATTTCCCAGATTGCCGCAACCTCCTATATTTTGAGGGTCAGAAATCCAAATCAATCACAAATAAGGTATGAGAAAGTACGTTTTCGTGTCTGCTTTCGTAGTTTAAAATATCGTCTGCACTAATTACTTAACATATTTGAGGTCACCCCCTCGAACCATTAAGATTCAGTTCTAGATCATGAGGATCTAATCATTAGATTAAAAGTTATTCAGGGTGATCCGTTTTTTATTTTGTACACTGTACACTTTTCTAACAATAACATTATTTTCTTTAAGACAATAAAACTTTAAAAGAATTTGTGTATTTTATTGAAACAAAATATTCTTTTCTAGCTAAGATTTAAAAGGTTATATACTTGCATATGAGTGTTAGGACATTATTTTCTTTAAAACAATAAAACTTTAAATGAATTTGTGTATTTTATAGAAACAAAATGTTCTTTTCTAGCTAAGATTTAATAGGTTATATACTCGCATATTAGTGTTAGGACATTATTTTCTTTAAAACTATAAAACTTTAAATGAATTTGTGTATTTTATAGAAACAAAATGTTCTTTTCTAGCTAGGATTTAAAAGATTATATACTCGCATATTAGTGTCAGGACATTATTTTCTTTAAAACAATAAAACTTTAAATGAATTTGTGTATTTTATAGAAGCAAAATGTTCTTTTCTAGATAAGATTTAAAAGGTTATATACTTGCATATGAGTGCTAGAGCATTATTTTCTTTAAAACAGTAAAACTTTAAATGAATTTGTGTATTTTTATTGAAACAAAATATTCATTTCTAGCTAAGATTTAAAAGGTTATATATAATTAATTAAAAAGTATCATTAATTATCGAAATATGAGTCACTGCTGCAGTTACATCTAGCGCAATTTAAAGAACGCCTTTTCTGGTAGTGCACCTATTTAACAGCTATTTATTCAATTTGCATCTACTTATCAAAATATATATTCATTAGAGCAAAATATATTTTTCTAGCTAAGATATAAAAGATTATACAGAGACTGATATGTCAAGACTTAATTAAAAAATATCATTAATCACCGAAATATAAATCACTGCTGCCGTTACATCTAGCATAATTTAAAGAACATCTTTTCAGGTCGAGCATCTATTTCACATATATTCATTAAAACAAAATATATTTTTCTAGCTAAGATTTAAAAGATGATATAAACCATGAAGTGAGTCAAGATTTAATTAAAAAATATCATTAATCATCGAAACATAAATCACTGCTACCGTTTCATCGTGTATAATTTAAAGAACACCTTTTCAGGCCATGGATCTATTTCAAATTTTACTAGTGTTTTCGAATTAATTGTTCATACTTGAATCACAAATTATAAAATTACAATATAACAGTTAAAAGCTATTAAAACAAGAACATCAACTAAAGTTTAAATTGATATGCCAGATTTCACAATGGTATGTATTTAAACTCCTTCATAAACCTTTATGTCAGTAAGTTATTTCAATAAAAGGATTCCAGATCTAAGCTATTTCTATTTCAAAAGATGCACAGCTATTAAAATTTCGGCGACAATTAAGAGAACACCTCTGCTATTCATTAAAGTTCTTATTCATTAATTTTATAATTCAAAGTTAAGTTCACGTTTTAGAGATAAGTCACTATCTTCATTAATTATAAAGTGGTGCGTCAACTTCTCGGAAAATGAGAAAGGCTTTTGAATTGTAGAAACATTTGTACAAATTATCATTTATAAATGTTTCATACATATCAGTTTAAGTGTCATCTTTAGAACTGTTCTCTGTTTGTAATTGTATGAATTTAGAGTCATTATTTTGAGAATATTAAACGTAACTGTTAGTTTGCTGTATTATAATAAAAATTAAACTGCTTAAGGTAATAGATCAACAGATTATACAAAATAAAATAAGAAATCCTTATTTATGCATCTACATAAGACTAAAATAATTGTACAACATTTATTTTGAAAAATATTAATACCAGTGAAAAAAAAAGCAATGAAGTATTTTAAGAGTTAATTGATTTTAAGACATTAATAGCAATCCTCCAAATTATAAACTTCACAGATATTTCCCTTTTTTTAATACTTATTTACATCTTGAAACATGCACGGTGTTCCGGAATTACTGTCTTTAATATATATGTGGTATGATTCTCGAATAAAAGTCAAAATCATGTACAGTGCACGAAAAAAAAACGCAACTCCCAAAAAAATTTTATCA